AGAATACGAAACATTACGAGCTGTTGAACTACAGCGAGCATGGGACGACGGTGGACAATGTTCTGTATTCGTGTGACTTCTCCGAGAAGACCACGCCCACTCCTCCCAGCAGCATTGTCGCCAAAGTGCAGAGTGTCATCAGTGAGTTGTGGCAGAACCGTTCCCCGAGGGCAGAGGGTGCCCTTCCCGGGTGGGGGGGCAACGCCAGCTGGTGCTTGAAGTACTGAATGCAGAGGGAAGGGGTCTCCCCAAGGCCCCGGCATGCCCATGCGGCTGCACAGTATAGCCCTCCCCCGAGCATGAGGACTCAGCACATCCCAGCTCTGGGCCCTTTTCTGCCCCGCTTCGGACGCGTGAGTCTCCAGAGGCTTCCTCCAGAGGCTGGCCTGTGACCTAGAAGCAGTGGTCACCGGGGAGAGGCTGCACGCTCAGGCTGTCTCTATGACGGGAAAGTTTGGCAACAAAAGTGCTGTTGACATGAAAAAGGCACCAAAAGTGCAAACCAGTCAGACCAGTTTTTCTGCCTCCCCTTGTCCACATTTCATGGTCACGTGGCTAACTCCCTGTCAACAGAGCAAAGCATTGTGGGTAAGCATCCCACAGGGCAGTGCTGTGGGAAGGCAGAGCTGATCCCTGCGTTGCTTGGCATTCCTCAGCAAGGGATCCCAAAGCAGCACTTCAGTCTCTCCAGCCCTTCCCTTGCAGCAGCTCCCTCAGCTGCCAGACACTTCCTGGAGCTGGGAAAGGGGAGGGGGGTGCAGGCCTGCAGGGCAGCAGAGGTCACACAACACTGAGCAGAGCCAGCAAGGCAGGCATTGTGGGATACTGGGGGAAGCCAGTTCTGTCCACAAAACACACTGGCTCTTTGTGGACCACAGAGGGAAGGGAAAAGACAAGTGTCTTGCAGGGATGGGAGTGTTTTGTCACCAAAACTGGGTGTTGTGTGAACGTGCTCCCTGTTTTGTCACCAAAAGGCAAGTGCTGGGGACCAAACATGCCAGTGTAGCCCAGGACTCAGCACCATTATCCACCTGCAGCCCCCCACTCTCTGCTGCCCTCCTGCTCTCCCCACCGCGCTCTGCGGCGCTGGGCGATCCCTGCCCCCGGGCTGGCCGCACGGCAGTTACCGGTGACGGCACTCGGAGTTGCAGAGACAAGCTGCGGCCCCGGCCTCTCACGCTGGTATCTCCTTTCCAGAATGCCACAAAGGCAGAAAGCAGGATGAGGAGCCGCACGAAGAAGCAGCCATGATGAATTCCCAGGCACAAGGGCAGCGCCGGAAACCCTGCAACTGCAAAGCCAGCAGCTCCAGTTTGATAGGGGGCAGCGGGGCAGGGTGGGAAGGAACAGCCCTACTCCACCACGGCAGCTACATCAAGCTGGGCTGCCTGCAGTTTGTCTTCAGCATCACTGACTTTGCGACCAAACAGCCCAAAGGGGATGCGGCCTTAGTACAAGACATGGACTTGGAGGAGAAGCTCTCTCTGAAACCCCACCAGGTGCCCGTGCTGCGGTCCAACTCCGTTCCCTAGGACAGGCGGAGCCTTGGCGGAAGAGCCGCCCGCCCGCCCGTAGACTCCTGCAGTGCAAAACTGTCCAGAGCGGGCTGGGCGGGGCCGGCCCAGGAACTGTCCACGCGCCGTTTGCATGACATGAAGAACGTTTCACTTTTTTAATTTTCTTCTTTTTGCTCAAGTTTTTGGGGCATTTGCACATATATTTGTACTATACATTTCATTTTCCAAGGACAGCTGCAGCCGGAGGAGCCGTGTCAGGGCAAGGAGGGGCAGGGGCTGACCTGGGCTCTCTCGGACAGAGCGCTCCCATGCAGTTGTAAAATAATCAAAAACTTGTTCTATTTTGTGCCAGTGACAATAGTTTTATATTAAAAGAGAAAAATACAGTTTTCATACAGCAAATCTATACAATATCATTGTTTTATTTAATGTAAAGAAATGCTCTCCTCCCCCAGTTATTTTCTCCCCTCCCCCCGCTATGGTTGCACTACAAGTAGCTACTGTGTATTATGGGCAATGAGAAATGAGTTCTTTTCCAGGTGTCCATCCTATTTTATTTCAGATTAAGGAAGAGTATTGGGTTCTGTGTAAATACATCCGTGATGGCATTTTTCAATGTTTTAAAGCTGTGTACAGTGCTACATGTGGTATGCCGTTGCCTCAAACTGTCTATTGTAGCAAATCGTTTGTCGTAAACCTGTTTGTCTTTTTTGTTCTATGCCACCTCCCCGCCCTCCAGAACAGCTAGTTCCGATGTACAGAGTAATTGTAATGTTTTAGACTTTACAGAAACTTTCCTGTATTCTGTATATAAAAAACAAAATACGTCACCTCCTGCTTTTGACTGTCTGTCCTGCCTCTGTGAGCACAAGCGAGGATCTTCGGAGCATCCCCCTGCTCCGCCCTGGGCCTCCAGGACTGAAGTGGCTGGGAGGAAATCGAGCTGGCCTGGGGAAGGAGGCTGCCCCGAAGGAAGGAAGGAAGGTGATGGCCTGGTTCCCTTTGGCCGTGACCACAGCAGTGCCATGCACTAGCGTGTGCATCCCCTCTTAGGGCATGGTGCTGAGCAGACTCCAGGTGTGTAGCTATTACAGGGCAGGCCGCTGGTCCCGTGCGGGGGCTTTCCCCGGGCCTGGCTCTCCTGCCCTAGAGCTGCGCCCTGTGGTATCTTCACTGTTCTATACGCGCTGTTCTGATCTGGAAACACACGTTTTGTACGGAGACCGAGGGGTTGCAGTCTGTGCCGATGGCATTCCACCTGTGAATAAACTCTCCTCGCGCTATTGAAAACCAGAGCATGAGCCACCCTGGCACCCTTCCTTCCCCTCCCACCCGCCTCTCTGGCCGGGGTCCGCTGCCTGCTGCGAAGGGAGCCGTGTCGCTGCCACAGGGCTCCAGGCCGTGAGGCCGCTTGCTCCTCAGGACTCCACGTTGCATTGGCTGGCCCTGGGCAGCGTGCTCCGGTGTGGAGTCAGTCTGGTGTTTGGGCAGCCGCCTGTAACGTGCGGGCTCTGCTGTGCTGTGGTCCCAGGGTGTGAAGTGTGTTAGAGCCCCCCATGGATTCTGCCTCGGGTACCAGGAAAGGAGGGTTTGCTACTGGTTAATCATTGTCCGCCTTCAGGGGTGGCTGGCAGGTAAGTGCTGATGCCATTACGCTTTGGTCTTCTCTGGTGCCTCCAGCTGCTTATCTTGGTGCTTGGCCAACGGCCCTTCTGCCAAGCAACCCTCTGGCAGCGCAGCTTCCCCCTCTTCCCAAGGGTGGCTGGCAGAAGTGTCCAGGGGATGCCCCTTCTGCCCATCCCAGTGACCCCCAGAAGCAGCATTTTCTGGCCTTGGCCTCGTTACTGCCCTGTTTGTTCCACTTGAAATCCTGGGGGGCCGGCAGCTCCTTCCAGAGCCTGGCAGCCAGGTTCCTGGGACTGGCTTGCAGGGGCCAGCGTCTGCTATTGCACACGCCTTCTGCTCACCCAGCCTGCAGGAGCTTGTCCTGTGCCCGTACTGGCCAGGGGCGCAGAGAAGCTGTTTTCTCTGGGCCAGCCTTTGCCAGGAATGTGCTTCCTGTGTCATTCCACTGCCACAAGCGGAGACACATTCCTCCAGATCCCTGTTCGGAGGAGCATGGGGGGACACCTTTGGATGGGGAGAATATAGAGCTGGGACAGTTCTAGGTGTGTCAGTGACATGCCCACCGATGGGGCGTGAGAACTAATCCTTAAAGCCCCATCACTATTAGTTCCTTCATGTTTGGCCCCTGCTGGGGTCTTGGCGCTCGTGCAGAGACGGGGCCAGACTGTAATCGGCACCTCTTGGATGGAAAATCACTAAATGGACCTATAGTTCCAAAAGCGTGAGTGGTTCGGAGCCTGTCTGGCCACCTGTGAACGGGGACCGCTGTGGCCGTGACAGCCCCAACGCCCGCCCGGAGCACAAATCCATGTGAACGCGACTGCTGAAGCCCAAGAACCAGGGTTTTCAAAGGTCTGAGCCGCAGCCCGTTCCCACGGCCGTCATGGCTTGTTGAAGAAAACAACCCAAATCGTTTTCCTGGGGGGGGGGGGGGGAGATGGCGTGCATGCAAC